AAAATGTATTCACTTTAAATATTTAAATACAAAAGAAAAAGATAAACCGATTAACTTTAGGGTTATAGTAATAGTGTTCATCGAAGAAACAAAGAAGAGTCGCAGGTACTTTTAAAGTGCCCGCTAGCCTCTCAGATTCTGGCAAAGGCACCCTGGCGGCGATGCTACGTCTTTCTCTGGTACGGCACGGTAGAGTGTTGCCGCGTCCTACACCTACATTCAAGAGATTCAACATATTGGTCCCCTTGAAAGCCTCCTGGCTTTAAACGGACTGGTTGGACAGGATGCAAAGTTTGGAAGCAGGTCTTCTGTAGATGCCATTCATGGTCCTTATAGATGCTACTCTTACAATACCATCTTGGCCTGGAAAGATTTCGACGACCTTGCCAATATTCCATTTTAAATCAGGAACATTATCTAATCGATATATGGAGAGAGGTTGAGATGGATCATCACGTCATAAGATGCACTGAAGATAACGATGTTCATCATAGAGTAAGACTTGCTTGTACATTTTTCAATGTCACTTGACAGAACGTAGGCATTCTTTCGAAACCGTTATAATATCGAGATCATTTTGAATATTAGGACCTACCATCAATAAATCATTCAATGAGAAATTAAAGGATGTTTTTGATGAACCGTCGAAAACCACTCTAAGTTTAGTAGTTATGCTGTCCTCTTTAAGGACACAGTGATAAGGTAAATAATAAAGAGGTTTAAAATGTATGTCTGTGATTAGAGACATATGATATATTCATTAATAAAATTGGAATATTCTAATTTTAAAGAATAATTTTTACTTAAATTTATTTTTTAAAGAGATTCTATAAGCCTATTAGTAAGTTCCTTTAGAGGAAACTTAACTTTGAAGCGACCCTCGCTGTCACGGACAGTGGTTTTGGTGAAGTAGGTTTCACAAAATTTTTCTTCAGGAGATATGTTTTTTACTAGGTGGCTCATGCATTTGCCAAAATCTTTGCATTTGAGCGTTAATATCTGAGATAGAAAGATCAGAATGATCATCTAAATGCTTACCCTTTACATGGAGATTCGTAGCTATAAGATATGTTCCTTTATATGTTGCGGAATAAAAAGGGGTCCAGATATTATCCACCCTAAAGTGGTTTTTTGGAGAGTATGAGTATTTCTACCCAGCTTTATTTGGCCTATGCATAGAATATCCCAGAATGCTTCGGCACCTAGTAATCTATCAATTTGTGAGCTCACATTATAGGTGGGATCGGCGAGTATTAGGTTAGGTAGAATAGGCAATAAAGATTTATCAAAATTTGTAACAGGTAGATTCGAGGTGATACTTTCCATTAGTAAGCGTGATGCATATATGCTGAATGTGCACGTTCCGAATGTTAGTTTATTGTCAATTTTAGAGGTAATTTTGCTGTTGATTTATCCCCGAAATCATGGTACGTACATGTGGTTTAATCCTAGGCCTTTAATGAATTCCTTTGTTATGAAGTTGATTTGCGAACCGTTGTCCAGCAATACACGGCAATTTTGAGGCTTACCGTTAACATCTAAAACTGTAACTATAGCAGTGGATAATAATATGCAGCTGTTGCTTGTCGAACAATACGATTGAAAAATTGAGCTGGTGGGGTTTTCACTGTCTGCTCGGTTATTAACAATATAATTTTTAGAAATTGCATTTGATTTATGGTTGCCAGAAGACTACATTGGCTTGATTTGCAATGTTTGAAAGAATGACCGCTACGATCAATTGACGCATACATTAAAACGTTTTAATTCGTTATATCGGGATTCAGGGTTAAGAATTATGAATTTTGGACAATTATGAATAAAATGATTTTCGTTACAAACAGTACAAGTTAAAATGCTTGTTGCAGCTAGCGATCTAGATTTACCTTTTAAATTATTGTATTGTTTGCTGCGTGAATCTAATTTTAAATATAATATATTAATTACAACGGTATCCCAAGAGTCTGTAGGCTCGCCTAGGTTTTTTAGAACCGTTAAATTATGAGTCATACTTATAAGCATAGATTTTATACTTGCATGCGATTCTTTTATAATTAAAGGCAATTTTAATAATGTTCTAACGTGATGATTACATAGAGCATTTAAGTCTTCATGCTGATCAAAAAGACTCTGCCAAGCTATGTCATAACAGTTTTTCGAGATTTGCATGTCTCGTAAAACGTCTGCGGCCTCAACTTCCAACGCTAGACGAAGATAGTGAAACTTTTGAATTTTAGATATATTAACCCTATCATGAATTACTGATTTAAATGTATCTCTAAAACAAAGCCAATCGTCGACAGAACTATCAAGGGTCGGTAAGTTAATATCAGGCAATTTAAGCCCTATATTTGACGCAAAATCATTACGTGAGTAATTAGAAGCAACATCAGATAAATTATCAGCATTGTTATTCTTTGTTATTTGATTATTATTAATAGGATCAATATGCGAATTATGATTAAAGGTTATGACTGAAATATTATCGTTTTGTAATCTAAGAGAAGGTGGTGGTGAAGCTTGAGATATATTAGTTTGAAGTATAGGTTTAGCAGATGCAATATGGCTATAATAGGTGCTTTCAAAGGTATCACGCATTATAGTATCAAATATAACTTCCTGAACATCCCTTGAATTAATAACTTCAATGTCAAATTGTAAATTATTAAATTCCTCTAATACCGATACGATGCTATCTAATCTTTGGCGAAGATTCAAATTTATTTAGAAAAGTTTTAAATTGTGTGAGCGAGGCTTTAAGTAACACCCGCTTACTTTTAAGAATTTTAATATCAGACATATTCACAAAATTATGTATACCTGCTAAACGCAATTCGAAAAGTAAGAAAATTAAGTCTTAATAAAGCTTAAATTTGCAAAATAATAATTGTAAAGTGCGGTAAAACTGGAGTAATATTCTATTAGTCTTAAATATATGAAACTTCTTATGTATTAAAATGAGCTAAAGCGACACGAAAATAATCCTGAAAGAACCTAGTAAAACTTTAATTATTTTGTTTAATGTCCTAAATCGGTGCTATAAATATAAAACTGTCTAAATCGAGCTGTTTTTATGTCCTAGTCGGAGCGAAAATACCATTAAGCGGTTACAAAATGATAAATATTTAAAATGTCTTCAATTGGAGCTAAAATACTAGTAAAAATGAAATAATAATTACTACTAAAATGTCCTTAACGGAGCTAAACTTATAAAAACTGTCTAAGGGCCGTTTGCACCACTTCCTCTTAGGTGAACCTTAACTTTGAGTATCACCTAAGTTGCACATTTTATTTTCTGACCACAATCCAAATAGTTTAAGTTGTACTTAAGTAATAGTGAAACTAAGCCGAAGGTATCATCGGTTTAAGTTCTACTTTGCGTGTTTAACGTCAATCTGACAAGTTTAATATGTTTATCAATAGAAAATAATATAATTAGAATTAGATAAAAGTGTGGCTTAATAAAGTATAAATGGAATTTTTGGAACATATTTTCGATGATGATTACGATTTTGATGAGTTAAATTTAATTATTTTTGGGATATCTCGACATATTTATCACAGAACGCAATATTTTGAAAGTTCTGATAGCGGTATAGAATGTTTAATTATAAACTCTTTTCTTTAACACTTGGTTTAAGTTTTTAATTTTGTTTTATTTTCCATCTTAACTGTTAAAGTACAAAATGCAAAATTACAACACAAACTTTAATCAAATAGATGACAATTCGACACTGACATTGATTAGTAATATACAAATTCTCTAAAATTTTACACTGCTGCTAAGTTGTTCTTCACCTTAGCATAGATTTTGTTAAGTGAAACCTATGCAAAACATACCAAACTTAAGGTTCACCTTAAGTCAAGGTACACCTTAGCTAAACCGTAATCGTAAGTTGAAGCGGTGCAAACGGCCCTAAATCGGGCTGTATTTATGTCCTAAGTCGGAGAGAAAATACCATTAAGCGGTTTTAAAAGGATTAGTAATTAAAATGTTCTCAATTGGAGCTAAAATACTAATAAAAATGAAATAATAATTATTAAAATATCCTTAATTGGAGCTAAAATTATAAAAAACTGTCTAAATCGAGCAGTTTTTATTGAAGTGTCCTAAGTCGGAGCGAAAATACCATAAATATACCATAAATTGGTTATAGAAAGAATGAAATATTGTTATTACAATAACTGAATTTAATCGAATAGGTTAAGAAAGGAACAATAAAATAGGATGGCACTAACCTTTCTTTTGTCTGTAGTTAACTTGAGCTGAGAACATGTGTCTTCTTGCGGCGTCACCAACACTAGATTGTCGCTGTTAATTTATTAAATCCGGCTCGAAGGACCAATTTTCTATGTATAACGTGCAATACGCCACATATTTTTCGAACAAAAAAATACTTTTTAAATTAGAGAAATAAAAATTTATTTACTTTAAATACAAAAGAAAAAGATAAACCGATTAGCTTTAGGTTTGTAGTAATAGTGTTCATCGAGGAAACAAAGAAGGGTCACAGGTACTTTTAAAGTCAAGTGCCCGCTCGCCTCTCAGATTCGGGCAAAGGCACCCTGGCGGCAATGTTGCCGCGTCCTACACCTACATTCAAGAGATTGAACAGGGTCATTTTTATATTTTATGGAATATATCGTTATCGTATTTGTTTTTTCAAACTTTGTTGAGAAGTCCGTTTGATGTTTTCGGGTTTGGCTGGAAGTTAGAGAATAACACCCTAGTTCATCAGGGCCAGAAGAAGCCTCAACAGAGTCTCGCTGCTTTCTATTTTTTGTGGGTTTTTAGCTGCGCCTAAACACCGGCATAAAATGGAAAGCAACGAGCCTCCGTTAAGGTCCTGTTGACGAACTCTGCTTGTTGTTGGCTTGTTGTTTGATCGTTACTGGTTTGGCTTAGATGCGCCTTGCCATATTTATAGGCACCTTTATTACTTTTTGTAATGAAAATTAAACGAAAAAAAAAAAACTCTATCAATTTGAATATTAATTTTATCGAATTATATTAATCTTGCAATTTTACAAGTTAATAGAAGACAGTAAAGGGAATAACATTTGAATAATTAATTTGCTCTGTATTAACTGTGTAAATTTATATTATAAGAACGTTTTCAAATTAACACGTTTTGGGTTTTTTTAAATTCTTTACATTCAAAAATTCTTCATCACATGCACTTGGTTTGGTGCCGTTAATAAGATTACAGATTGTTGCTACCAAATTTTCTCTAGCAGCCATCATTAAGTCCATATTAAAAATATCATAAAATCTAATATCGGGAACTCCAAAGACCTTGGGTTTAATAAATTGTTCTCTCTCTTCATTAGCAAAAAGAAGGGCATCAACAGTACCGTCAGTTAAACATGTATTAATATCATCCCATGATAAATTATTTTCTTCGGCACACTAAAAAAAAAATAATTTATTATATACAATGACAAAAAGATAATATATTTAAGAGGGTTTAGTTAGTTTACATTATATGCGGTTGGATATAACATAAGCTCGATTTATACGCGAGGCATATACTATGCTTTATTTACAACTCGTCACCCGAGGGATCAACCATTCTTGAAATACTGGTACGTTTTCACTCTAAATTACCGAAATCACTACAAATTTTCTCGCAATTTCCGATATCATTATCAAAAATTATGGTGGAAATCATCACCAAAATCCAGTGGCAGCTGGTCAGGAATGGCGCTCGAATGCCGCCTTCCCTGCGACATAACAGGAGTCATCTTCAAATTGGTATTTTCATATACGTTGTTGGGTTTATTTTAAGTTTTTCTTTTATTATTTTACACAGTAAAATTCAGTTTGAAAAACTTTTTATATTTTATTTGTACAATTTTATGCTCTGTCAAGTATTGTCAAAAACCCAAGTAACTACAATAAATTATATCAACTTATCCTTAATTGTATAAACTATATATTAACTATAAAAAAATATATAACATCCCCCCGTGAAAATAATTCTAATCTTGTCGAATCTAATTTTCACAAAATTTACATATTTTAGTGACTGGCCGCAGAAAAGTAGAATCTATTGCTTTGATATCAACGACACGAATTCTGTCGTCTTTTCCAACCAACAACTTTTGAATCACTCTTTTAGACCAATGATTTCTTGGTGCATTCGGTTCTATAAGAATGACATCTCCCTCTTCTAGTGGTTTTGATCATTTCATCAAAGTCGGAAGATACTCTTTTATCCATCGTGTCCAAAATATATCTGTCATCCTCTGACTTTCTTTCATTGCTTTTTATATTCTTGGAGGCGAATATTTTCCTTTTAAGATATGGTTCGGAGTATTGCTGATTAAGTCATGTGCATCAGACGATGCATGAGTTAGAGGTCGACTGTTTATTATGTTCTCAACTTCCGAAAACATGGTCAGCAGGGTTTCATCTCGCGGTGCTTCCTCCTTCAATATGTTTCCAAGAATTTTCTTGACACTTCCAATTAATCGTTCCTAAGACCCTCTCACGTGTGGCGCCCCTGGTGGGATAAATTGTCAAAGTAAATGACTTTAGGTACTCCTCTCCTATTGGAAAACCTTAAAATAGCCATTATTGCTGAGTCGGAAGTTAAATTATGTGCTACCTCGAGATATATTGCGTGCGTCATAAGGAAAGTAAATAACACCCCGTATCTTTTCTCTTTATGTCTTCCAAATGTAACGTTTAAAGCTCCAAAATAGTCTACGCCTGTGTAAGTGAATGGGGGTTCGTCAGGTTGAAGTCGTTCTTCTGGTAAATCTCCCATGACAGATATTTCTGGACTGGCTTTCCTTTTTCAACAAAACAAACAACTCAAAAATACATTTTTTACAGCTGCTCTACCTTTGATGATCCAAAATTTTTGTCTAATTTCATTAAGTACCGTTTCAATGCCTTGGTGTTCAAACATTTTATGATAATATTTTATTATCCAAAATATAAGGGTTTCTAACACCTTCGAGTAAGTGCGTGGTATTACTCAATCGTCCACTTAGTCGTAATACTTTATTTTCGTCTAAATAGGGGTTTATCTTGAATATTTTACTGCTTTTTTCAATTTTCTTTTCTTCTATAGAAGCTTTATTTCCCTGTAAAATGATTCTTCTTGTGCCCTTCTAATAATTTTTCTTTCTGCATTTTAAAGTTCTTCAACGGTTAAATTAATTCGGGTCCATAAACCTTCATCTTGACACCTACGAATCTTAAATCAAATGTTCTTACAGAATCGTTGAAAGTATGCAGTAGTTCTAACTAGTAATATGCTCATGTCTGGTGGTAAACAGGTTGATGTGTTTCTGCTATTGAGGAAACATACTACTTTCCTTTTAGTATCCTTTTTAAAATTGTAGTCAGGAAGTTCTTAACCAATATGTTGTTGTTTCATTACCGTTCTTTAAGATATCAGGTCCAGTAAACCATAACCTGTAGAAGTTGGCATTGTCTTTTTTATTGAAATTTAGGGTGTAGCCAGATCTGCCACATTTAAATTAGTATGTATCTCCTTGATGCACTTTTAGTGTTTTCTTGAATTTCACCTACTCTGTTAACCACAAATTTCTTATAATTTCGTCCGTCCTCTCTAATCCAAGACAAAACCGTTGTCGAATCCGACCAAAAGATAAATTTAGATATGTTTGTGTTAATTTCTTGCTGGATTGTTGTTGCCAAACGACTACCTAAGACCTCTGCTTCAAGTTCAAGCCTGGGTATGGTTTGAGAGGACTAACTTTAGCTCCAACTATTATTAACGAAGTTTCACAAATATCACTTTTAATCTGTAACTAAGCTATATGTGAAATTCTACTTGATCATCAATCTTCAAAAGTTTTGTGTAACATCGTGGAATTTTGGTTTCTTCTGATGTCTTTAGCATTTCAAGCCAATTTTGCCAAATTTCGTAGATTGTATGGGAATTTTACTGTTTCAATCTATTTCACTTCGCCAGATTTGTTGCATAATGACGCGACCTCTTATTGTTAAAAATGTTATTAAGCCAAGTGGGTCAAAAGGCGAAATTATTATTTTTAGAACCTTTTTTTTTTGGTAGGTACATCTCCAAGTAAGATTTTCTCAGGTACACTTGCGATATTTGTTTTGTCGCAAAATATGTGGACTTCTCAATCTTCAAAAGTTTTGTGTAACATCGTGGAATGTTGGTTTCTTCTGATGTCTTTAGCATTTCAAGCCAATTTTGCCAAATTTCGTAGATTGTATGGGAATTTTACTGTTTCAATCTATTTCACTTCGCCAGATTTGTTGCATAATGACGCGACCTCTTATTGTTAAAAATGTTACTAAGCCAAGTAGGTCAAAAGTCGACATTATTATTTTTAGAACCTGTTTTTTGGTAGGTACATCTCCAAGTAAGATTTTCTCAGGTACACTTGCGATGTTTGTTTTGTCGCAAAATATGTGGACTTCTATTTGATCATCAATCTTCAAAAGTTTTGTGTAACTTCGTGGAATTTTGATTTCTTCTGATGTCTTTAGCATTTCAAGCCAATTTTGCGGAATTTCGTAGATTGTATTGGGAATTTTAGTGTCCCAATCTATTCCACTTCGCCAGATTTGTTGCATAATGACGCAACCTCTTATTGTTAAAAATGTTATTAGGCCAAGTGGGTCAAAAGGCGAAATTATTATTTTTAGAACCTGTTTTTTTGTAGGTACATCTCCAGGTAAGATTTTCTCATGTACACTTGCGATATTTGTTTTGAAGGTAAATTTATAACTTCTTGTGTGCCAGCAAATGCCTAATATCCTGTCGCACATTGATATGTTAATTTATTTCATTAATTTTTCTTAACTTCAGCAGAATTAGAGACCCAGTTAACTACTTAAAAACCACCTTCTAAACATACTTTAATTATTTTTTATTTTTTTTATAGCTTCGGTTTCATAATTTGTAGAATCTAGATAGTCGTCAACGTAAAAGTTTTGTTCGATATCTTTTCTTATTTCTGGGTATGTTTTTGTATTTTTGCCACATAAGTTCTTCACGTATTAGGCTGAGCATGGTAAGCAAGTGGCCTCAAATGTCATTGCTGCCATCTCGTAGGTATCAATAGGTATCACCGTCTCTCTAGAGAAATCTTTATGAAGATTGATCTTCTTTTACGTTTCTGACTTGGTGAAACATTTCACGAATGTCACTTTAGAAAACCCATTTTCTTTGCCTAAATCGCAATAAAACACCAGGCAAGCTAGTTAAAAAATCAGAATCTTGTAAAAGAATATCATTAAGACTAATGCCATTTGACTCTGCTGCTGCGTCGAAGACAAACCTTAATTTTGGCTTTTTAGGATTAATTGTGAGGCAGGTACCAAGTTCTGTTTGATGTATTAGCGGTCTCTTCTGGCGATAGTTTCCTTACGTATCCTATTTCTTCATATTCTTTAATTTTATTTTTATATATTGTTATGAAATTCTTAAAGCCTACCCTGTGTACGCTCGATCTTCATATTGGAACCGACTCGTGCTCGAGGCGACGGAATGTTCTGGAAATGCCGCTGAGGCTCAAGAAACAGCTGGAACGGCGGAGACTGCCGTTTATTCATAGGAATGGAATGTTCGAGACGACCGTCGAGAGCCTCTAGCATTTTCCAGTAGCGGAGTTGGACTAATATAAATAGCCGACGTATCAGCGCCGAGTTTAGTTTAAGATAGAACATTGTATTGGAAAGTTAAAGTGTAAGAAATAAATTAGAATTGTTAGTTAGTATTATATAAATTAAATAGTACGTCTGAAATAAATTGTAAATAGTGTGTTTTTAAATAAATAAAGCAAAAATAAATTAAACTTTCGTCCCAATATACTAGCATATTCTTTGCTTTTCAGCATCTTCTTCTCTACACAGAGCAGATGATAAAATGCGTTTGTTTTGCTTTCTGGTAGTGAAATATTTTCTTCTTTCCATAATAAACCAGTTTCATATCTATTTTCTCTTTCAATTTTCTTTGTTGTCTTATTTAGTATTTCTATAACTCTCTTCTCTTCTATATTATTGGACTTATATTGTATATTGGTCCCAAATGATTCTACTAAAAAAATTTCTTTTATTAGCTCATTAAGTTCAGTATATTCATCCATACATGCCGCACAAGAGAAAAAATTGTAATTTTTTAATCCATTTTGTACTCTTCCGTGGACTACCCAGCCTAAATTGGTTTTCGTTGTCATCGGGGAGTTTTTAGGACCTTGATATACTTTTCTCGCCACAATCAGATTTATATAATCCTGTCTAATCAAAAGTTTTGTCTGCTTTTTCTTCTAGTGAAAGACCTTGTAAATGTGGAAATTTGATGTAATTAGATAAATTCATTGTTTGAGTAGGTAAAGAAAGATCTGTAATGGTTTGAACATTTTTTATAATGAAAACTTTTGCATTTTCATGGATACCTGAAATTTCTAGATTTACTTTACATGAGGTATCTTTATAAGTAACTATATTTTTCGCCCAATGCATGCAAAAGAGATCTGGAGTTTTCTGAAGGCCTAATTGTATAGCAACTTTTTCCTCTAGAAGTATTGTAGTTGAACCTTCATCAAACAGTGCATATATTTTAACACTACCATTAGGGCCATAAGGTTTGACTGGTGCTATTCTTAAGAGAATATCTGTTTCGTGATTTTTTTCTAGCCACATTATGTTCTCACCAATTTGTTCGCTGTTTCCCAAATAGGAAAGCAATTCTTTTCTTCCTTTGAAGTCTCATCTCGATGTATTAGTTCGTGATGTCTTTTCCCACAATCATTTATTTCGCAGATTCGTCGAAACTTACATTATTTTAATAAATGTCGACCATTTAAACATCGAAAACAAGTGCTAAATTTTGTTAGTTCAGAAATTCTTCCTTCAACTGTATCTTCCCGTATCTTTGGACACTGTGGTATTTTATGCCCTCAATTTTTATAATATATACAATGTTATTTTTATTTTGTTGTGATGTTAGGACTGCTTCATTTCGTTTTTGGAAATTGCTTTTAAAATTCTTGTTTCCTAAATATTTCATTGAGGTGGTTGAAGTCCGTGAACTGACGTATACTGCAGCATTAGCTAATCCGTTTAGCCATTTATAAAAAGAATCCAGACTACTTTTGCCTTCTAATCTAGCTTCTTGTCCCCAGCTTAGCTTACACGAGTCAGATAATTTTATAATTAATGTTTTAATGAGCTGTGGATTTTCTAAATAACTTTTAGAGTTTAAGTGTTTAAGTCTTGCGACAAAATTGTTGCATTTGCAGCCTTATTTAATAATAGACTCCATATCGCCTTCTTTTATTTTCGGAATAGTCTTAATTTTATACAATAAAGATTCGATTATTTGTTCATTTCATCCGAATTTTAATTCCAAGGTTTTTATAATTTGATCTGCATTTTTTGGGTGTAACATCATGCTTCTTACGACTTCCAACGCTTCACCTTTTAAGCACCTTTGCACTTTTAAAATCTTTTCTTCATCATCAAGTTTGTACTTTAGTACTTGTCTTTTAAAGTGTTTAATTCATAAAAGCCAATCTTGCGCCTTACCTTCAAAATACACATTTTTCTTGCCATCAGAGATATATATTGGTTGTAATTGTACTTTGAATATACTTTGTATCGACAAACAGTACCATCTTCGAATGACTGCAAACTAGAAACGCTTTTAGTCTCGTCGATTTGACTTTCCAGTTCTAGTATTTTTAGTTTTACTTGCTCAATTTTTAATTCTTTCATTTTCTTTTCCAATAACCTTGAACACTTTTTTAATTTAGAAAATTTGTCAGCTCATGACCCGTTGTTTAAATTGAAACCACGAAAATTTATTTCTAAAACTGATATGCCTTTATTCGATCCTTGTTCATTCAAGGTTTTTTGATTTTGTTAAGTTCTTTTTCTTGTTCTATACATTTTTAAGCCTCTTGTTTAGTTTCTGTTTCATCCGTATTGTTTGAATCTCTACCAGTGGAATTATTATTATCCCTTGTACCAGGCCACAAAAAATTAGTGATCATGTTTGTATTTTTACCCGCCGTTCTCTTAGTTCAGACATTTTGGACTGCTTACTCTGGATGATTTCTTTTCCTCGAAGGACCACGTTGTTGGGTTTATTTTAAGTTTTTGTCTTTTATTATGTTACACAGTTTGAAAAACTTTTTATATTTTATTTGTATAATTTTATACTCTGACAAGTATTGTAAAAAACCCAAGTTACTACAATAAATTATATCAACATATCCTTAACTGTATACTCACTATAAAAAATGTATAACATACTTAATCAGTAATTTTATTTAACTCCTAAATTTATTAACAATAAAAGAGTCAAAATCAAATAAATGCAATGCAATAATAAAGTTTGTGAGCAAACAATTTAATTAGCTACGGATGAGCCGGACTTGTACAATACGAATAAAAATAATACGGTTTTTTTCTATCATAAAATAAATGCGTGCTATAATAATTATTGTTTCGGTGTAGTACCAACAGCCCATAGCGAATCGCTGGACAGTTGTCTATTTACCGACGTCAGCCTGCGGAGTAGTGGGAAGAAATTATGTATTTTGGATACATGCGTTAAAAGGCGCAGCTCAGGCCGCTTTGTAAGTTGTTTTCCTATGTTGATCCAGTGTGGTGTTATTTATTTATCTTCGTATAAAATAAAGGTGGATTTTCAGAGAACTCACCAAACATTTTTGAGGTGAATTTCGAAATACAAGTACGGTTTGACCTTAGTGGTTTCCCACTCGTCTTCACCTAATACCTTCACCATATAGTAACGGTAATGCATTATCTTGTTACTTTCAGATCGTAGATTATAATATTATTATTTACGGGTAAAGATTAAAAGTAACTAAGGTAATATTGTGTTAGTAAATTACTCACGAAGGACATGAAAATGTAGATTTACAACACAACAATTAGACCAATATTATTGTACGAAGCAGAAACAACGAGTAGGGCAAAAAGAGAAAGAAAATCTAAAAATCATCGATGGAGAAATTATGAGAACAGTGTTACGACCAATTAAAATCACAGAGCAAATGAGAAAATCAAACAAGAGCCAAAAGATGAAACAATAACAAAAATAAAACAATCCAAAATTGGATGGTTGGGACACGTTTGTAAAGCAGAAAATGGAATTATTCAGTATTACAATGGAACCCAGGAGGGAGAGGTAGAGCCAGATTAAACATAATATGTCATTGGACAAAAGTTTGGAGACATTTTTGGAGGCTATGGGACAAGGTGTTTTGTCAGTGGCAGGAATATAATATTGCAATTGCATGTATGGCAACTCTGTCGGCATTCTTTATATATTCTTTTCATAAAATTGCTGCTTATCATTTCGGCATTTAACTATACGCAGTGCAGTAGTGAACTGGCAAGAACAAGTACAAGACAGGAGAAAATTCAGGGAGTTTTTAAAGAGTGTTATCGAAGAGAATGAGATTGATCCATTCAAAATATGGATATAGCAGACGAACAGTGGCTCAGCTCCACTACAGGTCTCTATAAGGGTGGTAACAAAAGAACGTAAAATATTTAAAAAGGTTACAGTATGGACAAAAATAAACAAAGAGTTTTAATAAACGGGTCCACAATCTCCTTTTTTTATTTTCAAAAACTTGCATTTTCTTATCCTAGTTAAATTATGTTTTAAGGCGCGTCCACATCAATACACTATGCGTCGTATTTTGAATTCAACAAAAATATTTGTGGCGAAAATCTTGTTTTGTTTCTAAACATAAGGTAAGTTAATAGATATCACTATTTTAACTCTTTCAAGCCCTGTACACATTAAATTATAACGTGCCAAGTTAGTCTAAAATAAGTGATTTTTGTTTTAATCTGGACCGATTGTGTATAGTAGTACACACCTATAGATGATTTTTAAACCGCCATCTAGAATAGGGAAAGTGACATTATTGGGTGCCAATTTCTGAAAAGTTTGGATAGATAATTGTTTTCCTTACATTAAAATTATATACATATATATTTTTGTTTCTAGAGTAATGTTTCCGTTACTTATAGCTCTCATCAAATATGGTAGATTAATATGACGTGTGTAATACTGCACTAGCAACTGTTTTGCAAACTTTAAAAGGCTTGACCATGATTGAACTTAATGTGTAAAATTATTGTGCACAACGAGTCTCAGTCGGTGCGATGTATGTAGAATATATTATTAATTAAAGCTAAATAATTTTGTTAAAAACTTGTGGTTCGATTGTATTTGTGTATGAATATGAATGGTCGGCTAGGACCGAGCTCAGACAAACGCACAAAGGACGTTCTTCTACCTCAGCTTCTCGACCTGTCATTAAGAGAGGTTGTGGGGAAACTCGTTTACTAAGAGAATTAACTTGATGGTGTAGATCATCTTTTCCTTTATGATGTAAATTTTTCAAATGCACAAAATCATGAATAAAGTGCCAAAAATGCGATATTCATTTATATTTTTCGAAAGATAAGAATTCTCCTATGGCTTTTCAAAATAATAATTCTGTTTTCATTTTGTTAATTTGTTAACATTGATGCTGCGTATGCATTTATTTTTGTTAATAAATATAAATAACTAATCTTTCAAATAAATTATTTTACAATCCTTGACATCTAATGTGTACAATTCTACACATTAAGTCCAAAAAGGAACGACTTACAAAAAAATAAACTTAACATTAAAAAAGTCGGGCATGAAAGGGTTAGGGGACAAGAATACAATTAAATGGAATTTCCTAAAGAGATATGTATCCAAAACTCATTTTACCTGTTTAACTATAGCTTCAGTTTGTTCCTTGGATTTATGCATGCTTGCCTTCTTTGCATGACAATAAGTAAAAGATATTAATTGTGACTGGGAAGGTTTTAAACTGATAAGACATGCATCAACACTGTTAAGATAGCACTCTATTTGTCCATGATCACATTCCCATCCATATTCATCCTTACGTTGATTCTAAAAAAAATTTAAAGAAATATAGATATATTAAAACGAGTTGTTTAAACATAATTTTAAACAGTTTAAAGCGTATGTTTAGGTATAAAAAATTTTTGTCTGTTACGAGTACTGTATCTCATGGTTAAATATAATTTTATCCATCAGATACTCAGGCGCACAGCCGTTTTTAATTTTAAATATACAAATTATCCCAGACAGCACAAAAACATCTTTAAGACGTCCATAAGACGTCTGTCAGAGACATGACAGACGTCTAAAAGACGTCTTATGAAGCCGGCCAGACGTCTTAAAGACATCTTTAAGACGTCTGATGTTACAAAAGGTAACGTTCTTAAGACCAGAGTTGGGTCGAATACTGAAATCCGGTATTCGAATACGAATCCTGAATACTGTATTCTAAATTGTATTCGAATAATCAATATTCGAATACAAAGAAAAAAAAGTATTTGAATGCCGGTGTATTCGAATACCTGGATTCATTTACATATGAATACTTCATGAATATTCCAACTACAAATAACATATGCGCACATAAAGCTTGATTATTATTTATGTAGTTAATTTATAAAAAGAATTAAAAATCTATGTTAAATAAAACTAGAAATATCATTTTTTGATACACAGTGTCACAGTGAGGTTAAATAAAATAACTGTTTAATAAAAAACATTTGTTAATTTTTATTTCTTAAAGTTTTATTAAAAAATTATAAATAAAACGATAAAATAATGAAAAAGTTAAAATAAAATTCTTTGGTACACCGTCAGATAAAAACACAAACTTATTGTTTGATAAAAAATAAACAATTCGCATTACGTATAACCTATACCCTACAACCTACTTACTTATAAAGGGTGTCCCACGAGATACGCCTCTTACCATAACTCCATAACGGTGCAATTTTCGAAAACTAATTTTAAAAGATGGCTTTTTTTGAATATACATAAAAAAGGACTCTTACAAAATTTTTTAAAATTGCACCGTTATGAAGTTATGGTCCGAGGCGTATCTCGTGTATAATAAATAAAACTTAAAATACATTCATTGGAGATTGGAACACAGTAAGGTAACACAATAGAATTGCTTAGAAAAAGAAGCTATCCTTGAAAAATAATCTTGTTCTTAAATACCGGGATTCGAATACCGGGATTCGAATACAAAGTGGGTATTCGAATACTAGGATTCAAAAATGGTATTCTGAATCCAAAATACCGAGTACTGACTAAAAAAGTATTCAATCGAATACCGAATACAGAAAACACAAATGTATTCGAATAGTATTCGAATACCAGCCAAATGTATTCTGAATAAGATTCAGAATACCGGGTATTCGAATACTACCCAACTCTGCTTAAGACATCTTAAATATGTCTGTTTTTCGACATTGGTAAGACGTACTTTCTGATTTAGTTTTAAAAGCTTCTGTAAATTTCTTTTATACAAAATAAAACAAATATTTTCTATAAACAGTATTATTAACAAAACACTGAAACATTTCGTTAAAAAAAGTAATATTACAAATTATTTTTTTTTATTCTTCCTCCATTAGTGGTTAATCTTCTGTCGGATGCCCTTCTAAGCAATAATTTTAACTGCGCTGTGTAAAATATTATGCATTATAGCTCACTCTGTCAAATTCGCTTTAATAGGATTTTCAGTAGATAGTGTGGGTTAAGGGTGGTCAAATAATGGCAATCTTCCTGTACTTTCAACTCTAATTCAGATATATTTACATCCGATGAAGCTTCTATGTCAGCTCTAGACGCCTAGACGTACTTAAAACACTAATAAGGGTTCTTCTATTTGGTTTTTCAGTATATGCAGTAAACTTTTATGCTTATATTCACAGTAATCCACGGCACAAGACACAAATAAAAAAATCAACGAATAACCAACAAAAACTAACCTCTCGGTTTTTATCTTCAACGACAAAGGACAACGCAGAACGCCACGAACCACGGAACCCCAATAATATTCACATTCAGATACATGTCCTTGTTTAAATTCTACTGTTGAAAAAAACAAAGCATAATAAAAACATTCGCTTCGATCGATGAACCATGTTCCCGGTTAAGGTGAAAGAGTGCGTAATTCAATTTGTCTCATGTTTTAATTGTTAGTTTTATTTAGAGTTATATTTATTGTTATTATTTTTATGTTATCAAATATTTACTTACTCTAATGAACAAATGTTCGTGAATAAATAAAAAAATAAGTAAATTATGTAAATTAATAAAAAAAAATTAAAAATAAATTTATAGGTATCTTGTGAAATTAGAAACCAGTACTTTTTTAATGTTACCATTATTTTTTATATTTTTTAAATAGATAGGCATTTAAAAGACGTCTTTAAGACGTCTATTTATGTGTCCTAAAAGACGTCTTTATAAAGACGTCTTTACAACGTCTTTTTTAGGTCTTTAGGCGTTCAGTCATAACTACGACATAAAACAGACGTCTTTAAGATGTCGTGTGCTGTCTGGGTAGGGTTTGATACCTTATGAAATCTATCAGTGGAAGCCACTTTAACTAAGATAACACATCTTTTATTGGGGTCAGCCTAGAGCGGGACAGTATCGTACGCATTGCGCGATTCTGTAGTTTTTGTAATCTACTTTTTTAATTTTGTCCTAATAGGTAGAGTATTGTAGCATAATAAGTAAAATGGGGCAAAATTAAAGTGTTGTATATTATATTTTTGGTCCACTGCATCAGGTGCTTACTACATCTGTATAGATAATTTATTTTAAAAGATATTGTTTTTATAATATAATTAGCATGAGATTTAAATTTAAATTTTCAATCAATTTTTACACCCAAATATTTAAACTTTTCAACGTGTTGTAATTCATATGTTCTAATTTTAATTGCATAGTTATCTACATGAAACTTATTATAATCCCTATCATTTCCAATAAACATATATTTAGATTTATTAAGATTAATTTTTAAAAAATTTGCACATGCTCACTCATATAATTTTTCCAAACGTTTATTTACAACTGTCACTGCTTGTTTAATGTTATTGGATGAGTAAAATAGAAGTGTGTCATCTGCAAATAAATGCAATAAACATTCGATTTGAAGCTCCCTTCCCGAACAGCACAGTACGTCTTAAGTACGTACAGTTTTGGTACTGTACGTACAGGACGTAAAATGTACGTTTTAAGTACGTACCAGTACGAACAGAAAAATACATACTAAGTACGTACCTAAGTGTACGTAATCCTGGTTGCATACTTATTTTATTGAAAAACCCTATGTTTTTACCAAATTCTGTTGACCGTGGGCCAAAAAGTGCAAAGAAGAAACACCTAACCTAAACTCTAAACTAAACTTTAAACTAGCTCGTTTTTTTAAGTGTTGCAAGTAAAAACGTTTCAACGATTTGAACAGGTTGTTTTTGTTAGTTTTTCATGTTTAAGGATTTACTATTAAGTGTTTCATTAAATAAATAATTGTGTACAATTTATTATAATTGAACAAGACAGTTTTGTGTATAATTTATTATAATTGAACAAGACAGTTCTTTGGACTTTTTAGTGCGTGTTATAAGTACATAATTTCTTCATTTTATTCTGGTGAGTGGTTTCATTTTAATTTTAAAAAATGATGTGTAATAAATATAATTTATAGATATGTCATCCCATCCCATAGTAAACATTACAAAAATGCTACAAAACAATTGAAAAAGTTTAAGGAAATGAATAATATCTAATATTTTAGACAAAAGAAGTGATATTTTACAGACCCTAATAATTTAATTTTAGATTTTGTCAAAAGGAGTATGGCTGCTACCTTGGTAACTAATCAGCTGGCAACAAATTATAATTAGCTGCAGTTGTAGTGGGTAAGATGTTTTGATTTGTTATTTTTGCATGCCAGTTTCCATAAAGTCGTTGCATTAAAAACCCCCTATCCAATCACAATTATTTTTGTATCTAATGAAATTGTGTACTTCCAACCATTGGACTTCCAAACTAAAGGAGATCTAGCTTAATAAAAAGAATTATAGGAGTTCCGATATTATAGAGCAGTGGCAGGAACGAATTGGATTTCAAAGGCATAAGGCCAAAACAGGTGAATACAAATAAGAGAGGTTTAGATCCAGGAGTATATTGACAATGATAATTTTGAGCCCTAGAAACTATCGCTTACTTTACTCTACATCTTTTTGTTATATTGTTTTTATCATAAAAAGTATTCAAGTTAAGTTTCTAATTTGATATTATTTCTTTGCAGAAGGTGCTATAAAAAGTAGCAAATGCAAAGAGAAAATGGTTGCAGAACAGGAAATTGTGAGATGCCTAAGAAGAGCTGATGATAGTTCAAAAACTTTCAAAAAAGATAGCAAACCAATTTAAATTATTCTGTTAATGTAAAAAATTAAATAAATACAAATTAACTTGTTTACTTTTCTTTGTATTGCACTAATACGTACATTATACATCATAAGTAAGTACCAATAAGGATGTAAAGTACGTCTAGAATATGTACTCTATTGGAATAAGTACAAACATAATGTTTTTTACTTTATTTTTACCTTCAGTTTTCTATTTGTGAGGTAATCGATGATCCAATTTAAAACTGCCCCTCTGATTCCTATACTTTCATTTTAATTAGTCGAAGTCGATCTATTGTTTTAAAAGCACGTTGAAGGTCCAAGAATACAGCTATAATAAAATTGTTTTTATCAATATCCCCCTCCAATCATCTAGTACACACTGTAGTGTAGTCCCATATCCATGCTTGCTACGAAATCCTAATTGAATTTTACTAATTAACTTGTGTTCTTCAATATAAATCATAATCTATTCATAAACAACTTTTTCGAGAAATTTATCAATACAGCTGAGCATATTTATAGGACGTAACTGCGGACCATTTTTAGGGTTTGAAAACTTGGGTATTGGTA